GCCAACCTCTAGTCCTCCATGCTGCCTATTAAATATATATTGACAGAAATAAAAACAACCATCTGGTGAGGCACTACGCCGACAGGTGCTCTCTCCCTGGCGAAACATATACTGTGTATGTTAGTGCACATTATGTGTGATGCAATATAATGAACTCGTCAGGGGTGGCCCCTGTTTGCCTGTGGAGATGATAGACTGGTTGCAACTTCATTACTTTCATTTCCTCTCATGTCGACCGAGTCTCTTTTCCTCGTGCCCGCTTGTTTTAGTCCTCATTCTCTTTGCTCTCTTTTGCTGTCCTCACCTCCCCTAAGGGTAGGGTCATGTTATCTTTTCACAGGAATTCTTCTGCTGGCCTTTGGTGCATAGCGTATGAGGCCTCTGGTGTGTGGTTTATACTGTCTTGACATTATTAAGTTGTCGGAGCCATATCCTTTCTTTTATCTTTCCCGTGGAGGGTTGGTCAAAAGGGGTTTCTACTTAAATCAGCCATTTGTATCTCATTTTCAAGGTTCCCCCGTGTCGTGGATAAAGCCGTAAAACACCAAAAATGAGAAATTCAAATGTCCTTGAAAAGCTTGAGTTGTCCTGGGAGATTCTTTTCTTCCTCCCACTGCTTCTCTCTTTTTCTCGTGGGTGAGTGCAAACGGGGTTAAAACGGACATGTTGATCTTTCGGCTGCCTTCAATGGGCAACATTGAGCTGTAGTACTTTTCCGCTTTGCGCCGACACAGCGCCCCATGTGACACCACCAACCAATCAAATTGCATGTTACCTGAGAACAAACAGTCCTGCTGCCCGGTGTTTCCATCTGACATTTTTGCTCGATTTACTGACCTTTCAGACCCAAGTTAGGATTTGTTTTCTCCTAAGCAGCGCCGTATCTCGTTTGCTGTGCAGCAGGCACGTTCAGTAACTATAAAAATCTGTATTTAGCGATACCATCTAATTTACAATGCGTACAGCCAAATCAGATTGTGCTCCTCATCCATGACACTGATGCATACTCCGTATTTGTTCTCATTTCTGATCCGAAAGATTTGCGTTTTTGAACGTGCTACACAGAGCTTAGTTAAATTCGCTTTGTAAACACGCTGCCATCTGCCGAAGTGAACCCCTGAGTGGGTTGATATGGAAGGTTGGTGGACCTGGCATTTTTTTTTAACCAAATATGCTGCCACAGATGGGCTTTGGGTCTGATCGTGGCACTCTTTGTGCTAACTGGCTCTGCTTGTTGGATTAGATGGCTATGATTTAGATTGATAATGAGTTCCCGACTCTGCCATGCTTAACGTTTGCGATTTGCGGTCATGATTCATTGGCTGCGGTCCTTTTTGGCTTCTGTGTCGGGAGGGTGGTGGCTTACATTTCCCAAATTAATATTTGGTTTCCAGCTTAAGAGCTGCACTGGATTTGAGCAGATGCATCCAGTCAATGAAGTTAGTTGGAAAAGTTGAAGTTGTGTTTTTATGGTTTCGAATCAGGCAAAAGTTCAAGTCCACAAAGGTGTGGTTAAATGAGTTTGGGTGTGGAAGAACTGAAAAGCAAAAGGAAATACAAAATCAACGACTTAGAAAAGTCAGTCTGGAGGAATTGTTCTATAGCGAGAGTGCAAGTCGTATGAGAGTTTGCAGAGCACCTTCGTGTGTTTGCTTCATGAATTTGATTTCAAGACGTTCTTTGCAGGACCTGAGGGTCAATTAGAATAGCACAGTCTGTAACAGACGGTTCCAAGCCCTGCCAATCACTTGTACGGCAAACTAGACTTTGTCTTGAGTTGAAATTTGCATTTACTGTACTTCACTGAGTGCCTTTGTTGTTCCCCATGCCTTTCGGATCAAAGTTTGAATGTTTTGACTGTGTGGAAAAAATAATCCCATTCCACGTCATCATCGGTAAACCGAGCCGTTGGTTCTTGGATGGAGCCATCGTCCTTGCCAGCGTTCATCCTTGACTTTGATCCCGATCTCAGGCTTTAACGTCCTATTTCCACTTTTTCAAAGCTAATGAGGAATCTCTGCTTGAGTTCCATGTTGCTTACGGAAGCCTGCGGCTTATCATCCCACCTGCGCACGGCTCCCCTCTCGCATGCACAGATGAGGTGAGCTCCAGGAAAGACGGATTAGATCTGTCACCGCGTCTTCATATGTTGTACCTTTGTTCCGGCTCCTGAAGATCAAGCATGTGGATTAAAAGGAAAGCAGAGCTGACGATGGCCACATGGCGCGGCCCGGTGGCTTGATGTGACTGACAGGGCCCCACTGAAAGTCTGTTCCGTAGGAGGCAAGGTGGAATTCAGTTAGCACGGCAAACATTTTAAAAGGGCCAATTGATTTATTTTATAGAGACCGCAACGATCAGAGCACAAACGCTGGCCAGGGCAACCATTTTCAAATTATTGACAAAGAAAGGAACCGCCGCTGGTCCAGGAGGGGAGCCGACACGAACGAGAAAGTACAGCAAACTATGTCAGTGTGACCTGATTAATTTGTTAATAGAAATCGGTGTCCTCAATGCACTTTTCACATCAAGGTGAGAACAGCAGGACTGAGCCGTGACAGAACCGAAATAGCGACAAGGATCTGGTGGCAGAGATCCAAAGGCCAAGCAAAAGAATAAAGTGACAGGATTGCTGTGTGTCACGCCGAGAACAAACACGACGGAAATATTTCACACCGCAAGGAGGCCGGCCGTGGATTCTCAAACGTCGCCGAAGGCAACCAAATAAATAGATATCATTTCAAAAGCCTCTCGATGGGCGGCAGAGGCGGAATGGTGAGAAGGAAAGGTGGGCTCGGCGCTGGTGGGGAGTGAAGATATCCGAGCAGAGCGCGGACACTATTAAAAAACTCAGGAGAATGAATTGTTAAATAGCGCTAGAAAGAAATATAAGACATGGCCCCATTTTTATGCTGCCTTGGCCACTCTGCAGCCAGGTGATAAGAGGGGGAGGAAGGTTTTGGGTTAAAAGTGTGTACGTGCACATACGTCTGTGTGCATCTGTCTGTGTGTGTGTGTGTGAGAGAGAACGCAGTTCAAGCAATGAATGGCGTAACATACCATAGGTGCCCATCAACATGGCGACTTCAGTGTGACGCTCTTATTTTTAACAGGCATAAAAAGTGCAATGTGGTGTTTAGCGTATGGGGAAGGTAAAGACGCTTTCAAATATTACATACATACACACTCACACACACACACACACACACACACACACACACACACACACACACTATCAGAAAAGGAATCGAACTGCAAAATTCTTATCTCGATCTATCCCGAAAACATACAGTAACTACGAAACCTAAACCTAATTCTAGTAATTGTATATCCCGCATCTTGATCCAATTGAACCGCTCCAGCAGCCGTTTTAATTTCTAGCAGGCGTCTGTTTTAAAATGGTTTAATGAAGCACTCCACCTTCCTGTCAAGCATTCAAGACATTAGAGAATCATGGTGCATGACGGTATTTGTTTACCGACCGCAGGAAAATGCACTCTCTTGAGTTGGTGAAGTCGAGTCTTAGCCATAAAAAAATATTTTATTTGATCATTGTGTTGCATAGCCGCTCATTTTTATTCACCTGCACAATCTTTACACCTCAAACAATCTGCATTTACATGCCGTAATTGCTCTGTGTAAAGAAAATTCCAAAATGCGTGTAGAGTGAGTGTAGACTATTTTCCACCCCCAATATTTCTGCTTTGACAAACGGAGATTACGAGCATGTGCCTTAACGCGTTTGTATTGATAGAAGTGTTCCTCCAATCAATCTCCTTTAGTGCAGCCGAAGCAGTCGCCAAATAAATCCCGCTGCTTGTTTTCTCCATCCCGAAGAGCCTCAAAGGGATTGCTTGTTAAATTGTTCAGAACTAATGCTGCAGAGACACCAGGTGGGGTGAGTCACACAATGTCCGCCGCAGCAGTTTCAGCACGGATCACGCTCGCGCAGACGAATCGCGCCGGTTAAGTGAAATTCATTTTGAAAACCAAATATGAAAGGGCAGCTAACGGGGGAGCAGGGCAAAACTCAGTGTTCAACCGAGAGGAAGATGGGCAGTGAGCCGAGCGCACCGTGATCCCCGCTCACAGTTGACGGCAGGTTGCCGTGACAATCTTTCTGACTGTGGAGCGCGATCCCTGGCCCCGTTTTTCTGCCACATTAGGCCCACAGTCAAGGTAGAACTCAAGTCCCATTGAGGGACGAATGCCGTTGTGCAGGTTGGGTGAAAAACAAAGGCAAATGTGAGACAGGCATCTGTAAACACTCATACTACGGGCTACTGTGCATTGAAGACCTCCTTCTACCCACGCCAACGTTTCCCGCCAGCCATCCACTTAACTGCACACTGTTCAACAGCTGTTGCCAGGACATGATGCTCACCCCCGCGCCCCTTTGAGTCTTTGACTCGGGCAATTATTATGAAGGGCTTCGTTTTCAAGCAGTGTTCACACCAACCGCGGAGCTGAAATGGATCACCGGGACGTGGTAACAGATTGGCAGAAGAGTGGGTCTTTTGGACAAATTAAGCCTCCGCTTGCTAACGGGACATCATGAGGTGCCACTGTGCCACAGGCAAAGAGTGAGAGAGAGAGAGAGAGAGAGAGAGAGAGAGAGAGAGAGAGAGAGAGAGAGGACAGTGACTGAATTTGAATTGACTGTCTGGGTTTTGGTGTTTCCGAGTGTGGTGGGTGATTTGTTTTGTGTTATTTATTTGCAGAGGTGGCCAGTTCCTAATGCCATGCTTGCGTAGAAGTACAGATAATTGTGTTCTAAAAAAAAAAAAAAAAAAAAAATGTAGAGGTACTCAATCAACCTCTTTAGCAAAAGTTTCTTTTTAAAATGTTTGTACAAAAGTCAAACCTACATTTAGCTTTTTTAGACTGGACATATTCTGTTTTAAAAGTTGGCCAAGTTATTAACACATCATAATTTCACATAAGTCTCTGTCATTGGAGTCTGGTAGAAAGCGAGGTGGCAATTATTTTGTGTTTTCCAGGACTTCGCCGATTCAATATTCCACTTGGTGAGGGAGAAGTATCGCTCGCTGGTGGGCGGCTGCAATCCGGCGTACACTCAACACAAATCCCTGGCAGGCATCGTAATGACCCGAGGTATGGTAAATTTCATTGACTTTTATATATCGTGTTGAATTATTGAGGCGGGGGTAGAGTCAGTCTCCCTCCGCCTGGCTGGACTTTCCGTGCTCAAGCAGCTTTGACACAAGTTTGCCGATGACACGGTGGGAATCCTAACAAGATCAGCTTCAATCTGACAACCGACGGTGTGACACGGTGCGGGAACAGCACGGCGCAGGACACTTCTCGCTGTGATGTGAAACAATGAGTTATGACTGCGCATTCATCTTTCATCCTTTATTCAGAGTTTTCATATGTCGTATCGGTTGCACATTACGAGGGGGATTGTCACCTGCGCACACGACCAAATTAGAGACACAAGCCTGGTATTTGTTCCCACATGATGACAAAATCAGATTTATCGAGTAAACTTTGACATTCATTTTATTTCCGTCGAGCACTGTGGTTTTCATCAGTTTGGGACAATGCATATTTCATTGCACCTCTCTATGAAAAGCATTGTAATATTGAAGTTACACATGCTGCATTACTATCACCCCAAATACATGCCTTCCATCTTTCCATTCATGTTTTACATTGTTCATTCTGTTCAGGGTCGAAAGGCCCACCACACCCTGGTCAGGTCACTAGATTTGATTACGCCCTTAAAACTGCCTGGTTAAAAGTAACACAAATTCAGAAGCCACCAAGTTTTGGGTTGCCAATTCGACCCGTTATGTTGCGTCAAAATTTTGCTCCAATAACGGGTAAAAAGTACCCATACTGGTGAGTTACAGCTCCCTGATGGGATTCCAATCCCAGGTTATCAGTAAAGCTGTGGTTAAAAATGATCCTCATTTTATTAACAATATTTTCTACCAAACGGCAACTTTGCCCCATCAGAGGTCACCCCAGCAAGTCATTCACTTGAGTTCTGTCCATACTTGAAATTAACTTCAACTCCACAACGAAACCCTCCAAAACGGCAAGCGGCTTCAACTCTTCAACCCACCCACGATTAACCCAACCATGGGTAGAAGTAACCCAATCTGCTCAAAATCCCCACGCATAGACTCAATAAGATAGCGGCAGAGCCCCTGTTTTGTCAAAATGAAGCTCTTCAATGCACTTCAGCATAGTTCCTTGCCACTACAGTGAGATTTCACAAGATGGCGCTAAAGTAATGGGCCGGTTTTCCAAAAACTATGAGTACCGAGTCAGTGAAAAAGTGGAGAGGCACATTCGAAAATGCCTCTGACCCTGGAGAATTATCTTCCCCTTGTGGCTACCAGCTGCAGTCTTTGAAGGGTCACCGAGGAGGGATCGGTATCTCTGCAGCGATGCAGCAGCTCATCAGTGTTGACTTCAGTGAGAGCGGCCGCGCTCATCCTGACCTCATCCAATCCTCCTCCTCTCCTCTGCCTCCCAGTAATTGCTTCTGTTTGTTTATTAATAGCGCGTTATCTACAAAGATCCAGACAAACGGCCCGCGCCTTTGCAGAGGTGGCCGCCTCAGCGCTTCTGCCGCCGCCCCCCCAGGCCCGC